CAATCTTAGTTCTGTGGTGGGTAATAACCTTGCTTTGCCTTGTGTTGTACAAAAAATGGTCGGCAGTGACGAGGTATGGAATGCAGTGGTATCCTTCTGTGAGCATGTCATGCTACAGAAGGAGACAGCAGAACGAGAGAGGGAGCGCTTTAGGACGAATCCTAGGGGTAGAAGACGGGGAGTAAATAGGAGAAGATATGCCCATCTCCTACCTCCTATGTAGTGTATACTGCACCGGAGGTTTTTGAGTGTAACATGCCGTTGAGGTCCCGGTAGAATGCGACAGCGACCCCGGAGCCTCTGTAACACGGCTTTGTCGGAACTACTCGAGGTGGTTTTAGTGGGTATTGCTCACCCAGTCTCTGAATAGCAGAAATTTTGGCGTGGGTCGAGTCCCACATACCCCTGTTCAGGGGATGCGCAAATGCATTTCCACCTCGAATAACAAAAAAAAAAAAAAAAAAAAAAAAAAAAAAGGGCTAGATTAAAAATACTGATGAGTTTAACAAGGAAAAGTAAAAAAACTATCGATTATTACATGACTAAATAACGAAAGACTAGAAATAATAGAAAAAAAAGATATTTAATATTATGTCAATTTTCAAATAGTAACATCCTACTTAATTATTTCTTGTAGCGATTATTATCTTTTAATAAATCTTTGTGTATAAAGCACAACAATATTGGCTCACGAATCGAACCTTAGATACAGATTCTTTAAGAAACTACATACTCGTAGATGTCTAGACCAAGCGTTTTCAAGGGATAATACAGAGACAGCAAGAAGGTAACACGATATAAAAAAAGGCGTAAAAGACCAGACAAAACAGTAAGTAATATAAATATATTGCTTACTGTTTTTTCAAAGTCTTATCCATTTATAAAAACCATTGTTTGCTTGTGCATGAAGCGAACTCTTAAGTTTTTGCTGAAATAAGTTCTGCGTGTTTTGCGGTTGCACGGTCACGCAGGATGACCATATTATAAATGACCCATCCGTCCAAATGCAACGGCTGTAGATTCCTTCATTAAATTATTTCTAAGGATGTAATTTTTTTAAATATACAGGTATATAATTCAGCCTCGATTTTTTATTAGCCTGCGATACAAGTGGACCAAAGTGCTTAAAGTGTAAATACCGTATGTCAAAAAGGTTTTGGATACGGAAATCATAGTTCGAGCTAAGTCTAGACTATGAATGTCACCCTTGATCTTTTCTAAACGGCGAAGTTCTTAAGCAATTAGACAAGGGATCTATGTAAACTTGGGCTGACTGTAAATTTTAAAATTTGTAGAGTATTATTTTTCAAGATACCAAAGGCTCTGTTTAGATTTGGTTTTCGTTTCTCTTTCGTACGAATGGCGCAATGCCATGTAAGAAGAAATAAAGGGCAATTATCATATAGCGTACGGTTGACAACGGGAAAACTAATCCATATTGTGATTGTAATGGAAAATCCAGAAAATGACAAATATTTATCATGTTAAAACCCATTAACCATGAATGAGTGCCTGCGCATCTTATCTTTCACATAATATTCTCTGCAAATAATGTCGGTTATCACAGCAAGATGGCGCGGCGCTTGTGTAAATTAAAATAACCTCAATAACTTGGTAAGAAAGGTCTCATTCGGAATTTTCCTTTAGATAATACAATAAATTATGACAGCGAAGTCTTTACTTAAAATTAAGAGGATACAATTAATAATAATAAATTCTTTATTTCCCACGAATGTGATAAGATGGATGAACAAATAACTGCACAATCAATTGTCAAATCAGCAAGTAAAAATAAAATAAATAAATAAATCAGTGGCGCTACAACCTCTTTAGGTCTTGGCCTTAGATTTCTGAATCTGTTTCATGATAATTTTTAAATCTAATAGACAACTGATCAGCCTCCAGTACCTCACCCACAACGTCGACTTTTTGGGTCTAAGATATGTCGGTTTCCTGACGATGTTTTCCTTCACCGTTCGAGCAAATGTTAAATGCGCACATAGAAAGAAATTACATCGGTGCACAGCCGGGGATCGAACCTACGACCTCAGGTATGAGAGTCGCACGCTGAAGTACTTTCCTCTTGTTTTTTGACGTTCATAAGTGTACATTGTGTTACCTATATGAATAAATGATTTTTGATGTTTGACTTTTGACTTTTTTTTGACTAGGCCAACACTGCTCAGCAAGTAAAAATAATGTCACTTATTCTCACAATACGAGCATAATGCCACAAACCTACTTAAAAGTGCCTCATACTGTTATGAAATGTGATCTATAACTTCTGCGAAGGCTTTCTTTGCCTATTATTCTTTATTAATGATTGATTTAACTAGTTATCATAGCTATTAGATTATCGTTTATTCCATTCTAATATAATATTTTTTTTTAATATAATTTTAGTACCAACATCTACATCAAATAAAAAAAAAGGTTTGTATACACGCGTTAGAAGTTATACTTCATTGGCGTAACAAGTAAAAATCTTTTCAAAAAATTTATTCTACGTTTGTGGAAAAAACTACACTAACAATAGAAAAAACTAAAATATTGACGCTAACTTCAGGGTGTCGGTTTTTTGTGTGTAAAAATTTACTTTCATCATTTTTCCCTAACGCGCCAAAAGAAGTATATTCAAAAAAATTCAAAATGAGATAAATAAATAATCAGCCTACGTGTACATCAACTGCCTAAGAATTTGCGACTGCGTACATCAATTGAATCGCAGTAGGAATAGCTGCCTAGCAATCTGCGAAAAAGGAATGCCGTTCTTTTCCGACGTATCGCCCAGGAGGCATCAGTATGATCCTGGCCAAACATGGCAGAGGCACTGCAAAAGCGTGGCAGTCCCAACAGCATCCTAAAGACGTTATGTTATGAAACGCGCAAGGCACTTTGCTTAATGATCTGCTTCAACAGAAGTATTCAGACACATAGTTGTATATTTAAATTATTAATAAATTTTACAAAAACCACCGCGAATGTCGCTGCTACATATATTTCACTAAAAGAGGAAAAAATGCTTGAGGAAGATGTTGACGTAAGGATAATCGGTGATTTCGCGAAGTGTCTAACGGGTTCTCATAACGGTGGAATTCATTTATTATTCAGCAGGGCCCAACCTGACCAATACAATGAATACGAATTTAACTCGGCGAGATGAAACAGAGACTGTTCCATATTTCCCACTGTTATTTGAAATCAGCCTCTACTCGTGAAGAGGCTAACATTGACTAGGATGAATTAAATTTTAATTCAATTGTTAAATTGTGTGTTCATCAACCAATATCAGGAATATTTTTGAAGTGAAACTTCTTAGGCATGAGGGTAAATTTTTTACGGATAAAACGCAATAATAATAATATTAGCGTCACGAAGATGTGCAGCATTTTTGTCGAAGAAAAGGGAGAGAGCGATTGAGAGAGAGAGTGAGAAGGGCGAATTACCTCATAGTAATTATATTTTTTTTATTAAAATTTCGTAAAGAGAATTTATGTAATATTAGTATTTTATATTTTATGCAAAATAATTTATTGAAAACTCAAATGGAATTGAAAATTAAAATGACACGTGTTTTTATTATCTAAGAATAAATTTAAAAAAATAAATTTATAATCAGTAATAATTTTCGACACCTAATATTTTAATGACAATTAAATTCATTAAATACCTAACATAATATCTCCCTCTATGTCTTGGAAATCTAAAGTTTTAGATTTGTATGTATACGAACAAGACTTAAAAATTAGTTTGCCAAAGAAGTTTCACTTCTGACATAGTGTGTACTTTGTACTGCGAGCGTACTTTTTTTTATTTTATTTATTTGGAATCAGCAATTTATACTGACTTAAAAAAGGTCTTATCAGTTTGACCTCTATGTATGAGATATTGTCGTTGAATAATAAATATCGATATAGGTTTCAAATTTCAATACACGTGTGCCAAATTTCAAGTCAATGACCACAAATTCCTCGAAAACTGAATCACATCGAGATTTTATTTAAATTTAGCTGTATTTCATAACATAGGGAACAGTCCAAGTTTCATCAAAACCGGTGCAGTAACAGACATACGATTTCTTATTTATTTGTATATACTCTATATAGTCTTATAATAAAACTCCATTATATCCAAGTTACGTAATCATTATTACAATACTAACTATTTTCTCTATACTAAATGATCAAATTAAAATTCTCAATGGAAATAAAAAACACACTATATATACATATATGTAAGTACAGTCTTGCTATTAACAATAGTAAATAGTTTCATTAGGTCTGTGTAATGGCAGTATAAAAAAAGAGAATTTAACAGTGATTTAAAATATTTAATTAATTAATAAGGGAGTTTTAAGTAACACTTGAACAGTTACTCTAACAGTTATTTTTATTATGTAATAAATTTACGTTTATTATAAAATGTTTTATTTAAATATGCAGTAATAAACAAAAGGAGTAATTCTATATCTGGACATTAGTGAATTCATCCACCCTAAAACGCGTCTTTTAGTCGTACATCGGTGAGTGATTTTAACACATTGTTAATCAGATAGACATACATTAGCACCGTCTCAGGTGCAATGAAATATAAACACAATTACGTGTGTGATAAATGTTGTATTGGCATGGAGCCGGCGTTAAAATGGCTATTGTATGCGTAAACATAAATCAATGCCACGGGTACGTTCGTGAAGGTCACCAGTTCGATGAGTTAATTTTGCTGAAATTATCAGCTTAATCCGTTGAACATCATACAGTTAATTACTGTATGATAATTAATAGCTATTGTAGTATATGTTTAAATAGAAAACGTATGGTTAAATTTGTGATTATTATCTGTAATAGATAAACTTTTGATTGGGATTAATTTATGGTAATCTCCAATAACTGTAAATAGACCAAGTACGTTGTGTAAGAAAAGAAATGTCTTTGATTTTCACAAGTATATTTAACGGACGAATTATTTCATTATTATATTCAATTTGAAACAAAGTTTTACTATTCAGCATGGCGAGACTGAAAATTTTCATTTAAACATTTAATATAGAAACAGTAGTATTCCACAATATATTGTAATAATGATTACGTAACATGGATTAGTTTATAATGGAAGTTTATTATGATAAGTACTTATCGGACGTCAGCTCGGATTGAGATAACATAAGCTACTGCGCAGTTCTGCCAAAATGCGTGCGAGTTCTCGGAAATATTACTATTTGTTAGGATTGCTGAAGTTTTTCTCCAGTTCCACGTACAATTAACAAGCTTATTAAAAACGACCAATATATTCAAAAAATCATATCAGAAATAATACTAAACGACTTTTTAAATTTAGTTTTATAAAAACATAACTTAATATATTATAATTAAATAATAAAAAATAGTTTAATAAATGAAATATATTCTAATATTTCACATAAAATTATAGAAAGGTGCAATTTACACCTCCGAATCTGTATGAAAAATCAACAAAGAAGAACTTATGTCTTATAAGAAATGCACACTTATAAAATATGAAACACGCAATGAAGTCTTCAACAAAGCACCGCTTGATTTAATTTTTTTTTTTAATAGAACAGGGGGCAAACGGGCAGGAGGCTCACCTGATGGTAAGTGATACCGCCGCCCATGGACACTCTCAATGCCAGAGGGCTCGCGAGTGCGTTGCCGGCCTTTTAAGAAAATTTAGTTAAATTAAAGCAGAAAAAACTTACCTTCCAACCAGCTGACGAGTTGCTATCTCCCTTATCTTTAAAATATGGCACATTTTGGACCATCCACTCGTAGATTTGAGACAGAGTCAGCCTCTTGTCCGGTGATGATGTGATGGCTTGCGTAATGAGATCGGCGTAGGAGAGGTTTCCCCAGGCGTTTCGGCGAGAGGAATTTTTCTTCGTTGCTATTGGCAACGGTGGCGCGCCTGGAAAGTTGACCGTTATTATTCAAAGGTTATGCCTTTTGCGTGCATGTATTCCACTGATAAGGTTTTTATGCAATTCTAACTCAGCTGTCTAATGGATTTTTTTTGCTGTGAACTCTTTTAGACAATTGCAATATTATTTTTTACTATATGACGCATATCTTCGATGTTCTAACAATAATTTAAATTTATAATGATTTATTTGTTTTTAGGTTATGGGTACTTCTAATTCATAAACAAATGTTTTTAAGAATCATGTAGGATTTTTTTGTCTTAGTCAGAAAAGTCTTATTTTATATATTACAAAAATATTATTTTTAATTTTATTATTTAAAGAAAAAACTGTTTGACCGGATTGAAGTTATGTATTATTATAAATTAACAACTATTTAACACCGTACTATTTACATCACACTCGATCGTACCGCGAAGAAAATTGGTCAGGAAAGCGGCATGCCTTAAACCCCAAAAGTTACAGCCTGTGTGCAATATAGATCACCTATTTCCTCTTTTAAAGAATTCAGATATTTAAGGCCAAGGGTTGTATCGTCAATATTTTTTCAGCTGGCTAACTTAATTAGCAAATGGCAGATGATCATCTAATATATAAAATTCTCGTGTCACAAAGTTCGTTCCTCATACGAGGAGTATGGCCTCCGAAACGCCTCGACCGATTCTTATGAATTTTTTTATGCATGTTCAGTAAGTCTGAGAATCGGCTACTATCTATCTCTCAATCCCCTAAGTGGTAAGGGGTGGCCAAAACTTTATTTTTTATTTTTCAGACAATTTTTTTGTTTTTATTTCTTTATGATACAGCATACATACAACCCTTAATTGTCACCCCTCAGCGACCCCTATTTTGATGTGTTAATTATGACTTGAAATCTGAGGTTTATATAGAGAAAAATTCACAGAACCACCTAAAAAGTTTTTATTTCGGAAAACAGTCTCTGGGGTAGCATAGCAAAATGTTTCATGTTGGTATGTACTAAAAAGGTAGGCTTAGTAAAATCACATTAAGGAGAAACGAAGTTCGCGGGGATAGCTAGTGTTATATAAAAAATCTTTATCTATAAAATATTTCTTACTTATTACTCGTTGTGTGGTAATCTTTTAAAAACTTAAATTGATTACGATTCATGATATGATAATGAAAATGCAATGTATTAACCCCTTTTTTATAGATAATTAATTAGTCAATTGCACCGTAATTGAACAAAAAGTCTATCACTCGATGCAGCACAAACAATTTTTTTGGCTTTATTATGTATGCTTGTCTATTTATTGATTTAAGTAAGTCATGGAACTATTTACTGTGAAGTTCATTTTTAATATTTATTTAGTAGGAAATTAGGATAATGTACATAGACTATAGAAATTTATGATTATACTAATTAATTGTTCTAAATGTTTTTGATCAATTAGGTTTTCTTATCTACAAGAAGTAACTTCGATGACCTTCACATACCTAAGAATCGTAATTTCTCCTTTAGTTATTAAGCTTACTTGGCATTGAAAATTAATGACTACCTATTCTACTATGTACACGTTGCGTTTTAAATTAAATATTTAAGCCTCAATTACCAGTAAGATTTTGATTAGAATTCTTTTTGGAGCCCCCGTCTTCCGCTGGGTCAACGTAGTTCTCTGGCCTGGGCAAAGGCCACGTGTTCGATCGAGCCCTCGTTTGGGGTTCAAATCCAACCTCTGCTAGTTCACCTAAGGGCTCCAGCTCTCCCATAGCTCCCTCTAACTCGGAGAGAGCGGTCTGGGAAGACCACGGGCTATGATAACTTCCCCCTCCCAAAGACATCTTTATTAATTCTAATTTCACTGAGCAGTGGAATTTTTTAGTAGGTGTGTCGCACTGAGCGCTCACTGGCGCGTGCCGTCACAGGTTCTTACCCCACTATCACATTCACCTTCATATTTGATTCTTTCTTTTTCTAGAATGTCGTTCGAGCTCGGACCGAGAAATTCAAAGAGGTTATCTAACTCCTTATCGGTGTTATACGAAGCCAATAACATGTGGCGTCTCACTAACACTCATAAACAGAGCTGCGTGTAGATCACGTCAGTCGAGCACATCGGACCGGTCTCTAGAGGCGATTTTCGCTAAATATAAGCTCGGAACGCGGCGGGGGCGGGACGCACACCACGTGAGCGACTACGCGCCGATTTTCCAATTCATCACAGGCCAGCTAGAGGCGCGATAACCTTGTAACGTGGCTAGCGATCACGTTACCAGTCTACTATAAATGTGGTCGAATTGTGTTCCGGAGTAGCACTGCACTTAAACGTTTTCAAAAGTTTTAAAGCGAACACTAACGGAAACTTTTCCACACTGATAACAGTAATCACTGGTGGACGCGTTACTGTCCTCTAGAGTACGCAAGAGTAACCCTGAGTTATGATTGTAAGAGTCCACGCGGTCGGCGATTCTCGCTACTGCGTAATAAGTGAGTGCGCGAGATAAAACAACCGTCCTCAGTAGCGAACGGTCGCACGTACACTGAGGAGTGAGGACTTGAGGAGGGCCGAGGCGAATCGCGTAGTGGCGGGCGTGCGAATTCAGCTCGCGGGCGCCGAGCTGGCCGCGTACGGCGACGTGGGTCGTTTGGGGGGGAAGGGGGGTGGCGTTGATAGCAGAAGTGGCGTCCCGCACTCGGCCATCATCGTTTGTGGTCGGTTGACACCAACTGGCAAGTAGCCGCTTAATCGCCCGCGCTATGACCTATCTCGACCGCTTGAAGTTTTTTATTAACTTCGTAGCTCACATTTGTAATGTCAATTAGTGCTACTGGGCAATACAAGTTGTACATTTTTACGTCGCCTATAAATTAACTATCATAATATTGTTATTTCTGGAGGAACTGAGAAATATATCGTCTGGAAATAGCTTGGTGACTGAAGGAATATTCCTACATATATATCGACTTTCGTATTTCTATTGAAAGTTGAATCACCTATCTGCTCTGTATAAGGGGGCGTCCATAAATTACGTGAGGTGTTTTTTAATTTCTGTACCTCCCTCCCTGGTGAGATGTGGAGATTTTATCACCCCTCCCCATCCGCCAATCTGTGAGATTTTTCAAAATGGGGGTTCTTACATTAAGGTTGGATTGTTATTGTAAAAGAAAAAAAAATTGTTGTGCTTTTATTTACGACTAAAACAAAATAAGTGAAATGTTGAGCGTTTAGTATGAGTTAGGGGAAGTGAGATATGACCTTAGAGTCAACCGTTTTCCTAAGTTTTTTTAATAGAAAAAAATTGTGTATAGGAGCCCCTTCAGTAATTAAATAGATTTATGCCCTCCCCTTAAACACCTCCGCAAATACTTTTTTTTGTAGAAAAGTAATAATCAGGTATTTTTGAAAATATACAGTACGTTCAGTACCAGCTTAGAACGGCTAGATATTTATTAAATTTAATATGTTATAGACAGACATACGGCATCGCGGACATTTTTTTAGATATTGACTAATTCTTCTATAACACTGTTGTACATCACTGTGCTCTATTGTCAATAGTTTCTGCAGAGTACGTGATACACGATTTTTTAATGTTTTTATTCATGCCTTGGGTTACATTCTCAACATTTTAAATCTCTAACTTTTTTGAAAACATTCTATAGCCTCAAAAATATTCAGGGAATTATAATTATATAAATATATTATATTCAGACAAAGTGAAGGATTTTAATAGAAAAATATTTTTTTCAAAAAAAGTCCAGTAGTTTTGGAGCCTATTCAATGTAAACAAACAATCAAACCATGGTGGAAGAAAATCCAAATTCTCAGAGATAAATTTCCGACACAGTAACACAACTTAATCTATAAAAAACTCCTTATCAACAAATAAATTACGTTAATAAACAATAAAGAAAAAAATTGCAAATTATTAGTAAAACATTATATCAATCATTGAAGTACAGTCAGACAAAATAATTACGAATGGAATCAGAGTGAACAAATTCATAGGGTTAATGTTCTGAGTCACCTTACATTTGCTGATAACATTATTTTTTTCTCAGAATCTTCACACAGAACAAATGACATGATAAACGATCTACGCCAGGCCAGAGAAATGAATCCTGACAAAACATAAGTTATGATAAACCACCAAACGACAGCAAATTCGGTAAAATATTTCCCATATCTTGATTTAAACACAAAACACAAAAAGGCAATAAAAAGAAGAATGGAGATATGTTATTAACATCGAGCAAAAGGACCAGAAAAAAAAATGACATCCGGAAAAGAACAAAAATGCACTAACATTTTCTCCCTTCAAAAGAAATGGCTGGATGGTATGACGACTGGCCAGGTTTGACAGATCGACACAAAGACTGGTGAAATAGCCGGAACCACGATGCAGAAGATCGAGAGACCGGCTTTGTGCCAGGTGGACAGACGAAATTGCGATGAGGGCGGGCGAAAGGTGATAGCGGTCCATACAAATACAACCTTTTATTTTTATTCTTTACTGTTAATGTCTTGTGTATATTTGTATGGAATTAAATAAAACTATAATATTATTATTAAATAAAACTATAATCCATATTTTTGTCAATGTTTTGCGTATAGTTCAGTAATGAGTAAGTAGTTTTTAAACACTAATTAAAAGTAGTTAAAATTGTGTTCAAAAATATTTTTGTTAATAAAAGTTATAATCAGTTAATCGGTTAGGTATGTGCTCGCACATGTTGAATTGGCTGTAAAAGTCACATTGAAAAAAATATACACATATTATATAGTTAATCAAATATTATCAAGTGTTTAATCTACTTTCAGCTCCATTGTTTAAAACTCACAAAAATACCATAATTGCAACATTAATTTTGTTTTATGCATCTTTCATGTTAAAATGAGGACAATAAAATACTTATGAAAATATGTTAGGAACAGGATATACACGTGGGAAAATGACATGGGAACTTAAGAAGCAGCGCTAACCAGATCCTGCATGGATCTGGTTAGAGCTACTCCCTAACAATCGAGTAGTATCGCAATATCCCAGCCTTGCGATTCTGTAACTCACTTTTCGAACTCTCACAGCGGTTTTCGCAGCAGTTACAGAATCGCAGCCGCAGGGCTGCACACAACTCACGAGGGGAATTTTTATACCGACAAAGCATGTATCCGCCAAGCATCCGCGAATTTCATGCAATATTCACGAAGTCAGTCTTTATTCAATCAGTCTTCAGCCTCTTTTCGCCGTCACGCCGTTGGCACTAAACAATATTATGTCCCTTATTAAGTAGGCAGTTCATAAATTAAGCGACTTAGTATGACATGGATCTCGCAACTTTTTACGGTAGAAGAACTGCGATGCGCGAGTTACGTTCGGTTGTTGTTTAAATATATGTTAAATGAAACACTTTGTTTAAAGCTAGGTCTCAACGGGCTTTAATTGTTTAAAACATGAACTTATAACAAAGAGAAAGTTAGGGGTACTGGGGTTGCGACGCTGGATTAACAAAAAAAAATGTGTGCGTGTACTAGGTGTACACACGTAAGAAGTGAAACTTCTTTATGACCTTATTAGAAACTATTTCTTTAAACACAGTAAATTTTGATACACTGCCTAGCATACAATTTACAAATTAATTGCTGCAAATTGCGATTAGCAAATTTCAAGTCGAAAATGTAATCCGTTGTCAAACTTCAAAGTCAAAAACATACTATATGTCATATTTTAACGCCGATAAAGAAGTTTGACTTCGAAAATGTAATCCGTTGTCAAACTTCAAAGTCAAAAACATACTATATGTCATATTTTAACGCCGATAAACAAGTTTGACTTCGAAAATGTAATCCGTTGTCAAACTTCAAAGTCAAAAACATACTATATGTCATATTTTAACGCCGATAAAGAAGTTTGCTTCAAAAAGCAACATGGCGCGTAACGGAAAAATGTGACGCGTAACGCAAAAATGTTACACTAAATTTTTTTCCAACCCCGATAAAGAAGTTTCACTTCAAAAACTAAGTTGACTTATGGAAGAGTTCTGAAATCTAAGAGACGTTATGTTATTGGTCATTACCGGAAACGAGAATGTTAAATTACATAAAAACTAAAGGGCTCATTTAGGCTTCAAGGTACGACGATTGCATACAATTTGTTTACGCTTCTAATTATTAATTAAAATCTATATATGTGACCTAATATTGCGACATATTCTTTTTAACTAGTTATGTTTTTGATAGCATATAATTTAACGGAAAGAGACGAAAACGTTCACTAGTTTAGTAATGTAATTAGTGTCATTAACACTGATTGAATGCTTTATTTACCTACTAGGAAGATGTGACAAAATGGTTTTCTGACATTGCATGAAATTATCAATAATTCTACGATAGGGCAACGACAATAAAATCTCTTCCATTTTAACTCTTTACCAGTCAATGCTTGAAATTTGAATAGTCAAAGATTATAAAAATACACAAAAACAGAGTATTATATCACAATATACCACGTTATTATTAATTTGTTTCTTAAGGTAGCTTATAAAAAATGCTTTGTACGTACCCAGTAAAATATTTATACTACTGGCACACAGGCACGCGTGTGTGTGCCAGTAGTATAGATACATACACCAAAAATGTAAACAATATAATACTCAATTGAAAACCGCATGTAATAATTATGGCACTGATTTAATACGTCATAATTACGAGTACAATTGCGTCACGACACACGTAAAAGCTCATTTGACGATAAATTTTCATAACAACAACGTACACAAACCACAAGACGTATATTAACATTGTAATCTTCATTTCCTACTATAATATTATTAATGTGTAAAA